CGTTACAATTTGAAACTGACTTTTGGCAACCAGTCCTTTAATGATACTTCAGTTCTCTTTAAGGGAAGGTGTAATAGTTTTTTTATAGTAATGATATGCAATCAATGAAGTGTTAATGATTAGTTATGCTATTTCCTCATAACTCATTTGCAGTTTTAAGCTTTGTGTTTGCTAAAGAGATATATGTTCAGCCGATTATTGCATCGGATAGTTACATATGTATGTAGCTCCATAAAGTACTTTATGTGCTCTACATGAACTTCACTGTGAATTCACAGAATTGTTTAATTTGCTGTACTGTACTGTATTGAGGACAATACAATTATATGAGTATATCAATATACATTTGGCTGCACATACCTACTATTATCATTGTAAAATACGAAGAATATACTGGTGAGCAGGAAGCTGTACAACGACACCTAATGACCGGCGCCCACGCAACTCGTAACAATGCCCAATTGCCGCGTTCTGCTCGATCGAAAGAAACTACTAACTACTACATAATAATAAAACTGTTTTAGATTTTTTTCGAATGCTTAGGTGCTATAGTAGTGATTGAGTATTTACTACTATAGCACATTAATACAATAAAAAAAAAAAAAAATGAATCAATCAAGGTTCAATTATCACGTATAAATTCGGCCGACCCAACGTCAATAGTGTCGGCACTCAGTAAATACAAATTCAACATATTAAATAAGCATTAGGAAATTTCCAACGTTTTGCAAATAACAAGCAAACTGTATAGACGGTAAACATAATTCAATTAGATAATTTACGTCTGCCACGGGCTAAAACATGAGAGATTTCTAAGAACAGTGGGTTAATACAAGTGCGGTGGCCTTAGTAATGTGGAGTTGTAGTAGTGTGTAACGTATAGTGTGGAGTTGGCTTTACGAGAGAATTTCGTAAGTATGTAGTTATTAGAGTCAGCATGACTTACACCGCATTTAGACCTCGGTTTTAACTGAAATAACCGCACAAGACAAACAGTAAGTGCAGTAACATAATTAATCCCGTTTCTCGGCTTACCTAAATATAGATAAATGTATGTACATGAAAAATATAACACCTCCAATAGTTTATGGTAAAGCTATTTTTTTTAATTAAAACTGTACATCGAAAAATAAAATAATTTTTATTTAATTTGAACAGTTGCTGCTTTCTCAGTTTATTTAGTAAATAAATTAAATGTAGCCGCAGTGATATGTAGTTTTTTATACTTTACCATTACATACGAAATAAACAGGTTGACGGATAGGTTTAGCAACACGTGAACACTTAATTGAAACAAGTCAGTCGTAATTAGTGGAAACTGAATATTTTTCACGTCTCGCCTACGTCAATATTTGCACAGTTTAACGAACTTTTCATCAAATCATTGTTGTTTACTCATTCATTCGCATGTTTAGGTATCACCACGATGTGGTAACTAAAGAATGCCGGCGAAACCAGTTCTTTTTAAATACTGAATGAATTGATTAACTTTAGAATTCAGCTGCAGAAGTAAAATGTAAATAGTCCAAATGAGGCATTTAAGACCAAATAAACATTTCCTTATAAATATTTTTCGGATTTGAATCGTGTATATTTATTTATTTTGTTTTTATGTGGCAGTCAGCCGTAATCATGGGAAAATAGCCCGAAACGTTGGTTTGTTTGAAAAAAGAAATAAAACATCCGAAAAATAGTTTCATAATTGCGAAAACTTAAGAAAATAAAGTTAAAATACATTATACAAATTTTAATATAAATAAAAACTGTGTAACATAGCTATGCTATGTACTCGTATACTGTTTTAAGTTTTTAAATCGAGTGTGTTGTATAATATCAGAGCTAATATGTGATGGACGACTCCTTTAGGATATATAGCATATATATAAGATTATATATGCATACTCGTACGTTTCACTTACCGATAATATATTACGTGAACCTGCTTTTACAGGTGACAGGACTCCATCTAAACAATTAAATGTATTGTGGTAAGCGGAGAAAGTTCAGCGAAAGTCGAACGAAATACATAAAAGCAATCGAATCGCAAAATATGAAATAATGCTACATACACTAATTTTAAAATCTGTGACTCTAAATAGGCCAGCTTGTTTTACAGATCATCTATTGCAGTTGTTTTTGGAAATGACAAATTGCTCCCACGGCGTAACATTGACAGTGAAATGGGCAGTGTATATTATAATATTGTTTTTTAAGACCAAGGTTCGAAATTATCGTGATAAATATCTGATATACATCCAATAATTATCCAAGCTGATACATAGTATTTTTTTTAAATTTTGGACTAAAAATGACAGTTGGAAATTAAAGAAACACGAAGAAAAATCGTTGGAAAAACGATTTAGTTTATGCATTGACTTACAATTATATGGACGTCGGGTCCGCGCTAAAAAGTGTCCGAACTTATAGGGCGTTAAAATCGTATACAGAGCGTCATTCACGTTTTAGTCTTCGTTTGTTGTTGCTTGCTTCGCTGTCAGCGAAGCAAGTAAAATTAGACAGTACTGCGATGACATTACAATTTAAATTCAACGTTTTACCTTTTTCATATTCCTTTACATGTCACTACGTTTAAATAGGTTGACTTGGGACATTTTTTTCGTGGTGTGTGTATTAGACCCGTCGTCCATTTATTTGTAAGTCAATGAGTTTATGACTTTTTTTCTTGTTTTCTTTTTTGTTCTTACGTGATATGACATTGCTAGCGGCAGCAATTTGATGTTCCAATTATTGTTATAAATATCAAGATTATTTTTATAATTAAGAAAGCATATTTATCACGATCATTGATAATGATAATTATCATTATCACTTCTAACCCAGTTTATGACTACCAGTAACTACAAACCTAAATCAGGCGAAGAGTACTAAAAGTACTGTAAGAAAGGAAAGTAAACTAAGTACACTGCAAGTAGATTACAATATTTTAATTACTGTAGATTTTCTATGTGCGAGTACTCACTCAGATAATCATCTAATATACAGGTACAAAGTAGAATTATTAGTGCAAACAACTTTATCGTAATAGTTCCGAGCGGTGAGCGGGGATAGTTAGGTATATTTCCTTTAAAGGGATAAATCGAGTAACTTGTTCTAATCAAAGCATAATG